TGGTGGTGGTGCCGCTGGGCTGGGGCCATGCTCTGCCCTGCGGCCGGGCAGGGCTGTGCGTTGGGGCAGGAGGAGAGGTCGGTTTTCCTGCCTTTCCCTTCCTGCCTGTCCCTGGGCCTCGGTTGCCACAGACTGACTCTGTCTCCTCCTTTCTCTCCTGCTGCGCTCAGTGGAGGATCGTGAGGATGAGCTTGTTAAAAAGCCCAGGTAAGGGGAGCGTGTGCCAGGGCGGCAGCAGGAGCTATGGGGCTGCATGTCTTGGGCAGGACTCGGCACTGCTGGCTCTGAGCTGGGGAGGCTGAGCTGCACCTTGGCCTCTTGGGCAAACGGGTTCTGGAGGAGGCTGGAGACACTGGCAAAACCTGGTTGTGGGTTTTGGGAGGTGCTGGGCAGTGCCTGGACCTCGAGTACAAGGGCCCATGAGCCTGGCGGGGGCTGTCGGGTGGCTGGGCAGAGCTGGGCAAGTGCCACCAGCTGCTTTGCCCTTGCCCTCGCTGCTTGCGGTGACTCCGGGGAAGTTCTTTGCCCTGTGGCTGTTTCTTCTCTCCTCTCCTCCTTCTCTGTCCTCTCCCTCTCGCCAGAGCCGAGCTGTTGGCCGAGCTGCAGAGGCTGCCCTGTGCTTGCCCCACGACGGGCACCACCAGTGCTCAGCCACTGCTCTGACCGTCCCCTCAGGAGGGTACTGTCTGGGCACCCGCCTGCCAGGCAGGCTGTTGCCAAACAAAGTTTCCTTATGGTGGGTTGTCCCTGTGCCAAGGTGCTGGGCAGGACCCCCTGGGCACTGCTGGCACTGAGCTGGGGAGGCCAAGCTGCACCGAGGAGTCCCGGACACAGTGGGTAGGGGCAGCTGGTGGCACTGGCAACACTTTGCTGGGGGTGTTGGGAAGTGCTGGGCAGCGCCTGGACCTGGGGCACAATGTCCCGCGGGGCTGTGAGGTGGCTGCAGGGCTGGTCTGGAGTGAATGCTGCTGGCATCTTCGTGGGGCTGGGGGTGCGTACGGGAGGGATGCACTGAGCAATGGGTCAAGCATTGGCTGTTGTGCCGCCGTTTTTTCTGATGCTCAGGTCCAGCTGGGGCACGGGGGAGCAGTGGTGAGTGCTGGGGTCTGGCGAGGGGGTTGGTGTGAGCGAAGGGTGCCTTTGGGAGTGCTTCCCTGTGTCAAAGCAGGGTTCATGCTTGGTGTCGGCTGAGTGCCTGCCCTCTGTCACATGCAGCCAGTCCCCGCAGCCTCTGGAGTCCCCCAACACCCCCGTGTGCAACCCTGGGAAGCTGCAGCTGATAGAAGATGCTGAGGACTGGCAGCCCCGTACCGGGCCCTCCCAGTCCCGCTCCTTCCGCAAACTGGCCCGGCTGACGGGCACAGACGGCAGTAAGTTCCCGCAGGGCTCAGAGCTGCCCGGCTGTGGAGGGGTGCCCAGCTTTGATGGGGCAACTG